TGTGTGGTGGGCAGGGCTGAAGTATAAACAAGAGGCAGCCCTATGTGATTTGGCTGTAGATTGTAGAGGAATTTTGCAAATCAAGACTGTACTAAAGACACAAGAACAGCTTTTCTTCTAAATCAGGAAAATGAGTAGAGGCCTTTGGAAAGTGATAGTGGCCTGAGTCATTAGGATCTGATAAGATCTCCTTTGCAAACTGGAAATGAAGCACAGATCCCAGTTGTTAAATTACGGCTGCACACAAAGCTTAATGAAGCAGCAAATGGGGTTAGATATACTGATGTTACCAAAAGCATAACAAAAAGGAGCTACTCCCAGAGTAGAACAAATTGTATTTCTCCTGCACCTGTGTGGAAACAGCAGACTAGGGCATTTTGCAATGATATGGTATATTTCTCCAAATCCAAGAAGCAAACAAGTGCTTTTGCTCCTTACTCAAATTCCTTGAGCATAACTTAGCACACCCGGCCTTTGGGGAGTCTGGCACTTTGACTGGAGCTAAAGCAGCTTGCCACCAGTTGCAAAAATCTGTTCATGGCCCAGCATGGATCATAGAACCAGATTACTTTGTGCTAAGCTACACAAAGGAAACCTAACGTGCTGATCCTCACTCCCCAGGTCAATACCATGTCTCAGTGGAAGGTTTGCCAGTTCCTCAAGGTGACTGGATGGCTGCAACTGTTTTTGGGGATCTTGCATGCCCGTGCTGTATGGATATTCTTTAGTCTGCCCCATGCTGAGAATCAGTTTTGCTCTGGACAGTAAGATGCTGTTTGTGAGGCAGTAATTGCATTTGCTTGCCAGGGGAATCCAGAGAGGCTGTAAGGAAGGAACTTGTGAGGAAAGCTCCCTGGAGACCTCTCCTGCCACATCTGAGGTAAATGGCTCATTAAATGGCAGTGATTGGTTTTGAATGGTGCAGCTGCAGGAGGGCTCCTGGGAGAGTCACCTGCAGCCTTGCCAAGGGCTCACATCTCCACCGAGTTGTGGGTCAGACCTGGCCTGCCTGCAAGTCTGAAGAACTTAGAAGTGTTGGCAATAGTACTTGGTTGCTCTCTAAACCCTGTGCCACCTCTGCAGCTTTCTTCCATCCACCTAGGAACTCACCAGTCTCCAAGAGCAGGCTTCATGGTGAGTGTGTTTGCACCTTCACCATGTGCAATCCAACCTTCTTGTATTAGGGGTTAAACGTGCAAGAGGAGGAGGCAATACTTATCCCAGCATCGGTAAACTCGGAGCAGATTTTCTGTGGGAAGCCATCTGTCAGCTGGGGAGCAGTGCTGTGTCAATTGATCAGCTCCACCTCCAGCTCAGCGCAGCAAACTACAGATCCTTGACCTTGTAGGGTGATAGTGGGGGAGTATTGGGCTTTCTGGAGGCACTGAGATCCTGTAATGGAGCCTCTGCTCTTTTAGAGTGTGTGAGGGACACCCTGCAGAATCTTGCTTTCTCTCGCAGCAGTTAGGTAAAGCCTGAGCTTGCAGGTGAAAAGGCCATAGGACAAAGACAAGCTTTTTCCTGTAGCCAGGGGATTGTATTTCACCTGGATGATGTGCAGTGTAAGGAACTTCTGATTTGAGCTCAACCTATCCCTATCCCAATCCCCCATTTAAATCTGTCTCCCAGTGGCAATGTTGAACCATGTTTTGCTGTTTCAAGGTAAAAAAGGAAGGTGGAGAGTGTGAAATTTCTGCAGGAGAAAAATAGGAGCTTGTAATGTTCTATAAAATCCTTAATGTCTAGAAGGATAAAATACTCCTTTTTGTGTTTAGGCTGTAATAAAGCAATAATGATTCTATAGGTTATCTGTGTAAAAATGGTGAAACCATCTTAGATCTATCTCCAATTTAAAAACTTTGGCTGTAACACCACAGTGAGGTCAAATTCGTGATCTCTCTGGTAGCCCTGTAGTTCTATATTCTATCTCATCTTTTTCCTTGATTTTCCATCACACATGCTCAAAAACAAGGAAAAGGAAATAGTGGCTCTTGGGCATTTTTCTTAGTTTGTTTTTTGTCCCCCGAAAAGGCAGTGACTGAGATTCCTATACAGCTCTATCATCAATTCTCCTAAATTATTATGTGAGGGACACATTCTTCTACGCTGTTGTCTGTCCTTCCTTCCTTGCCCCTCTCTGAGTGCTGAGCTGGTTAGGGAGTGAAGAGCTTTTGGCTAGCCCAAGTATTGGGGTGATTAAGTGCCAAGAGACATCTTGGCAAGCCAAAAGCTGGACTGGCTTGCATCTTTTAATGCTCTCATTTTGAATAGAAGTTGCCTCCTCTTGCTGCTTCTATAATAAAAATGCCAACAGTTGCTCAAGAGCAATTATTACATGCACAGCTAAGTGGTCTGTGCTGTTTGATTTAAGGAGGGATGCTTCCATTTCTCAGAGGAGCAGGATTGTTTAGCTGGGTTGCAATAAAGCTATCTATTTGCTGTATTGATTTTTGATGTTCTGATACACTCTAGTTAGTAAGGAGCTCTGAATTTTCTTCCCGAGTCTTTGGGGCTGAATTCCCTTCAACGGTTAGACAGGGCACTCATGTGGAACGAACTGTCAGTAGGCATTTTAGCTTGACCCTGTTTAAATCACGGGTAAGGCATTACCTCCCGCACCTAGCTATCATGCATTCTAACTCCTGACTGTGTGTATGCATACTTGAAATACTAGTGGATTTACCATCTTGCATCCTCTATTTGTCGCTGGGAAAAGCACCTAATATTTTTTCAGACAAGGCTTCAAGATGCTGTGTGTCAGATGTTCCTGTAATTCAATAGCCAGGCCCTTCAGATCTTAGACTCTCTGCTAGAAATGGTGGAAATTGCAGTCAGTTCAGAGGCTCTTATGCATAAGTATAGAAAAGCTCTTGCTGAACTTAATATAAAAATAAATGCTAGTCATCAGTTTAGCTGTCTTGCCTTTTCACATTACAGTAAGGCTGAGTCTTCGCACTCTAGCATTCAGTTTGCTACAAGTGGCTTTCAAAGGCATTGTGCAATGAAGGGTATTGAAGATGCTTGTTCAGGCTTTCTTCATATTCTGGCAGATGCCATGACAATAGTTTGATTTTTCCTCTGTCTTTCCTAATTTTCTGCATAAGCTCCAAAGATATAAAGTATCTTTTTATTAGAAGAGTAGGTTCTTTTCCTGAGCGGAGTTCTGAGAGAAGGAGGTAAATTCCAGTGATAGAAAGCATGAGTTGTTTTCCACATATTAAGAGGCTCCAGTTGCTGGTCCTGTTGTTGTTTTTGTTTTGTGGAGTTTTTTTAACTTGTCTCCAATTTGTTGATGCCTTCTTTTCCTTTTTCTTTTTACATGTTTATTTTTCTACTAAGCAAAGAGCTGCCCTAAGAGAACTTTCACGTGTGGGTGGTAAGCAGTAAGGAGAAAGTGAACAGAGTTTAATTACCAGATCTCGTAAGAGAGGCATGGGTATCTGGGAGCAAGGACTTTTGTATAGGATGTGACCCATGGGGAGCTCAGGAAAGAGAAACAGCCTTAATCTACTGACTACAGAATCAGACCTTTTTTTGTTTTGTTTCTCTGGAGTTGCTGATCTATGGCATACTTGGTCAATATAGAAAATGGCTATAGATAATCAAAACCATGACTAAAGGATGAATGGATGATTGATTAATCGGCATCCCTGCTGAGAAACAGCTTTACCTGGCAGGCTGTAGGAGACTTAATTTGATAGAGAGCTGTTCTAAATGTGACAATCTTGAGTTAATGTCTTGAGGCACAATAAGTTTCCCTAGGTCTAAAACACTGGAGTACCTCCTTTAGTATCTCTGGTCCGGTTTTCAGGGCTTTTTAAGAGAAGGTGGGGCTGCTCATTCTTAAAGGTGGTGATTGGATTTTGAGATCTTTCTATTCTAATGGGAATCTCTACATAGATAACATTTAATTCTACTTTTTTTTGGTTGGGCTTTTTGTTTGTTTGTTTAGTTGGTTGGTTAGTGATTTAATCCAACTACAGAAATCAGGAGGACTTTGCAGCTGATTTTAAAAGATAGAGGATAAATCCATAAGAGAGCATATTGGCAAATGCTTTTTTCCATTCCTTTCCGTCATGAATTGTGAAGAAGCAAGGATTTCATTTTACTGGATGTGTCACAAATTGTAAGCCTGATATTTTTGTGAAATCCCAGGACAAAAAGGGTTTACACTATGCCATTGGAGAGCTGAGATCTATAAAAAACTCCCCCGGAGTCTTGGAGGTTGTAAAATGGTACAAGTTCTGAGTTTTGCAAAGATGAACTTAGTATAGTAGAAGGATATGAAACCAATACCAAGAGAAATATTGAGCTGACTTTTCTCTAAAACATGGTATAAACAAAACCCATGATAGTTGAGAAATCTTTTTTTAAATTTTAGTGTATTTTATGCTGTTCTGAGACTGAGCCTCCACAGTTGTAGAACTCTGTGCTACTGCTTGATTTGAGAGGAGCTTGCATTTGGGGTTGTCAGAGCTATTCGTGTCCAAAGATTTTGCCTACTGTAATTGTACTGTGGTCTGGATACTCAAACTAGAGTGAATATTCCATACTAAATCTGTATCAAGGCTGCTGTGTATCCTGAGTATAGTACGTATAAGGTTATGATAATCCTGGGATTAAAGATTTTAATTTCTGCAGTGATGGAATATTTTGTACTTATTCTCTTTTTCTGTCCTGACTTGTGTACCACTTGTTCTCTGTCTGTTAGAATCAGGCCTAACATTTGAAACCTTTAAGTAATTTTGGCAACCTGCCTTTAAAAATAAAGTAAGGACAGCTGGTCATAAAAAGGATTTTACTTCCTTCTCACTTCACTTGAATTTTAAATTTTAAAAAGTTAAGAATCCTTAAGCTCTGGCCAAGATTTGAAGTGTAAGATTCTGACTGTGTGCCTCCCGCTCCATGCTCAATGGGTTGACTAGGAATGCCGTTTATTTCCTTTGACCTATTCTTGTTTTCTTTTCCTCTCTCTTCTTCTCTTTGACTTCCTATTCTAGGATGAGTCATCCATGTTCTTCCAGTTTGGCCCATCAATAGAACAGCAAGCTTCTGTCATGCTCAACATCATGGAAGAATACGACTGGTACATCTTCTCCATTGTCACGACTTACTTCCCTGGTTACCAGGACTTTGTGAACAAGATCCGCAGTACCATTGAGCACAGTTTTGTGGGTTGGGAACTGGAGGAGGTCCTCCTGTTGGACATGTCCCTGGATGATGGGGACTCAAAGATCCAGAACCAGCTCAAGAAGCTTCAAAGCCCTGTTATCCTCCTCTACTGCACAAAGGAAGAGGCCACCTACATTTTTGAGGTGGCCAACTCTGTGGGTCTGACAGGCTATGGTTACACGTGGATCGTGCCCAGCCTGGTGGCAGGGGATACAGACACTGTGCCATCTGAGTTTCCCACCGGGCTCATCTCTGTCTCATATGATGAATGGGACTACGGTCTTCCTGCCAGAGTAAGGGATGGAATAGCCATAATCACCACGGCTGCTTCTGATATGCTGTCTGAACACAGCTTCATCCCTGAACCCAAGAGCAGCTGTTACAACACCCAGGAGAAAAGGATTTACCAGTCCAACATGCTCAACAGGTAAGGGAAAGAGCTAGCCCAGCCTTGCAAAAGAGGGGTCAGAGACAACCTCTGATACCAGAATATTTTTACTAGGGCATGTAGTGCTTTGGGGCAGCAGGTGGTCTTGGCCAGAACGTGGACAAGGGGAGGTGAGCTGATGGTGGGATCTATGTTGCTGTCTGTCATGAGTGCCGAGATTGTCACCTCCTTAGAAAGCCTCCACACAGCATAAAGGGCAAGTCAGCATGAAGAAAAGGAATGTGAAGGCATAGTGCAAAAATTTGAGTGTGCCCCTCAATGCACAAATTTTCACTTTCATAACAGCACTGAACTTCTTGGAGTGCCTTTGCATGAATGGCTCTGCAACTCTCAGGTGGGTTCTTGCTGCAAATAGTCAAATGTTTATGTTGAAATCTAGAAGGCACCAGGTTCTGTTCTAGGCGCTAACAGTATGTGAGCAGATGGATGTCCTTTATAAGTGTTGGTTTTGTAACTAACTGGGAATAGTTTCATGGCACCTGTCGTCCCTCTGCTGTCCATTAGGCCTGAATTACAGGAAAGAAGGAAGTACAAACAGAAGTGGAAAACTAGAGCTGTAAAAAAAGTCATCACCTCTGCTCAGTTCCTGTGTTATTCTAGGAGTCTTTGAAGACCTTGTGCGTCTTAAGGATCCAGTTTACCTCAGAGATTAATTAATTTAAGACTGTAAATTAAAAATAGAGAAACCCTGTTTCAATAAACATCTTTTGATCCAAATTAGGATTTTCTTAAGAAACAGTGCTAAGACATCTATTTAAGGACGTAGACAAAGCCTGCAGTGGAACAACCTCTAGAACAGATCTCTGATGACCAGGTCTTCCTGTTTGTCTCAGCTGGAATTTTAGCACATAGCAAAGCAACACAGATAATTAGATATGGAATCTGCAATTGTCCAGATGCCCCTTGACCTGCTCAACTGTCATTCTCTGATGTTTTACATATAAAATCCTTGGACGTGTTGGACCCTTTGTTGTAGGACTAGGGGAATCCAGGCAGTACCCGTAAGGCCACACAGAATTCAGTCTCTTTTTTTATCTGTTGTGTTGAATCATGGAGCAGTGGAAATGTGATGGATTGGTCTGTGTGCTATGACCCCTTGCTATCAACTGTACTAGGCAGATAGAGGAACTGGTGGACAAGGAAGCAAATTTTGCTTTGCCTGAAAGCTGGGAACTGAATAAGAACTCTATTCTTTGATTATATTATCCATATTGCTATTTGTTCTTTGTCTCTATGATCCACTGGCATATTATCTGGTCTTACTGACTTAACTTCCTATTCCTCATGCTGTCTTTTTGCTGTCTGCAAACCTTGGAACCACTAAAGTTGCCCAAAGCTTTTATCAGTTTTCTTCCCAGCTAGGCTTAGAAGTAAGGTTTTTTTCTGCTGCTCTTGAGTCATCACTGGAATGATTAAGCAGGGAAAATATATTTAATATATACAAAGTTATGAGAAGTAACATCACGGCAGGCTGTTGTTCTACCTTTCCAAATGAAGAGGGATTTGAGGGGAAGCTCTATTGTGTCTTTTCAGCAGTTATCTAGAAAACAAGACATTCCCTGCTATGTTATGCAGCGTTTTGCAGAGACCTTCTGCTAATTAGTTCTGTTGACACTCTATTAGCCTGTGCATAACATCATACCCGTATAGCTATGCTGCTTCAAGGGCCCAACATAATCTCTCTGCATAGCAAAGCAACTTTTGCATTATATAGAAGTTGCCTGCTCAGAGACTCTTGAGTCTAGATAGGACAGTACTGTTGTGCAGTGTAGATATGCCCTGAAGCCTGGGCACCCCACATGAAAGCAGTTCATGTCACTTTTGAAGCTACTAACTTTCTTCTCACCTTCATGGCCCAAATCATGCTGTTTCTTCTCCCTTGTCTGCTTTGGGTACAGCATTCACAGGAATTAGTGCAGGTGCGTGTAGGTATACCCAGCTTAGTTTGGGTACCAGCTTCAGACTCGCTGAAAAGCAGTCAGTTAGTCCATGCCAAGCTCTGTTCTGCCACTGTGTAGATTGCTGCAGGCACCTGAGCTAACTCAGAAATAACTACACTGTTTTCCAATTGCCTGTGACCACAGTGCAAATATTCACATTGCCTCCCATGGTGCTGGCCTGTGCAAGGGTTTTGCCCCCCTGCCCCCCATTTTTCCACCCTCTCTGTATTTCTGAGTGAGATGGTTAAAAAGTTTAACTTTGGTGAGTAGGGATGCTTAATATTTTTATTTAAATCAAATAACTTTCAGGCACCTTTCGAAATTTAAAATCTAGTGGTGTCTGAAATAAGCCATACTTTTACACATCCAAGCGGTCAATTGAAATCTAATGGCTTCAAGCCCAGCCTCACAGCCTGGAGTCTGGGCAGGTGGAGAGGTAAACGAGAAGCACAAGATGCAGAAAGCGGCAGACGTGAATATGTGAGTTCACTGTACTGAACCAAAACTCACAGAGATTAATGGCTGTAATATGTGTTCATATCTTCAAGTACCATTGAACTTGCTGGAATTTACTAAGTGCTAAGCTTTAAACCTCTCCTGATATGCTTGGTCTATCTGGGGTATTACAGATTCTACAGACCCAGCTGCTTCATACTTTCCCTAACCCCTTCCACCCACTAAGATCCTACAGCACTTGTGCATTGCGCACATCAGGCAGCAGCAATACCCGCATGTCTGGAACATGGATTGGGTCACTTTGGGCTGGACTGAGGGTTCTGGAGAGTTAATTTTAGTCTTACTCTGGAACTAGCAATACTATATTCAGCCATCTGCAATTTAAATTTCCCCCTCTGTATGCCTGCACAGAATAGAGAAATGCATGGCACCTTGGGCTTGATGTCTGTGGAGTGTATGTGTATGTGACCTCAGAAAATGCATCCCCATGTAGCTAGTGTTTCAGAAACTCTTGAAGCAAATACAAAGCAGTCCAATTTGCTTTAAATCCATAGCTGGGGAGGCAGTGCTATAAAAGGATTTTCCTATTTTTTTCTTTGGAGAGTAAGACGTACAACTAAAAAAATGCGTAATTTAGTTCAGCTGGGGCACCTTATACACTAACACTGTGAATTAGTAATTTCCCAAGATCTGCCTTTGAACTTTGTCCATTTTTTTACTTTTTTCCTCCTCTGAAAGAGCAGTAGTTCTGAATGCAGCTAGAATCAAATGGTATTGCTCAACATGGTGTTGGTCACTGATCTGGATATATAATGGAGTAAGGAGAAGATGAACAGTGTTACTCAGATTCTCCATATCTTTCTTCCTTCTTACACTGACATTTGTTCATTTTTGCAAGAACTTACGCAAACAAAGTTTTGTTTGAAGTGTGGCTGCAAGCACAAAAAGAAACAAGACAGACTGTTATCTAAATGCCATTTCTTGACAATGTAGGTGTTTGGTCTGCATCATCTTGTATCACTAATGGTCTCATAGCAACTGTTTCTTGTCTGTCTTGAAACCGGTTCTCTTTTGTGTTAGACTGGAACTGCAGAAGTACGATCATGACCATTGAACATTGCGGATTTTGTCCAGTAAATGAACACGCTGATGAGATAACTCCACTAAAGAGTAGTAAAATGATACTTTGAGAAAGGTTTGTTCTACAAGATTTGTTATTTTTCTTTTTGAATGATTCTTGAGGAATTTTTCCTCTAGTGACAGATTTATCTCAATTTATTCTGATAATAGGCTTAAGTGGTGATTTAGAGTCCAAATACCCAAATGCTGTTTCCTAGTTAAATTGCAGTCTTTAATTATTTGTTTTGTTTGTAATAATTACCTATTCATATGTTCCTGCATTGTCCCGGGAAGAAATCTGGTCTGAATATTCCAGTCTATGAAGTTTATAGTTATCTCAGTATCTGATCTTCTTCTGGGCACCCAGCAAAACACTATGTGCTCTGCTCTTTGTGTTGGATCACAAAGGTTGGGAAGGAGTTTCTAACAGGGTTTTCCTATGGAGAAATGCTCAGGTGAGCAGTTCTTACTTCTTGGCCCTTCTTAAAAGAGTTGCTAGGCTTCTAGGCATCCTGCAAAGCTCATCTTTCCTCTCTTCACCATGGCTGCTGAGGAGTGAGTGGGCAGAGGTGGATGTGTTTATAGGCAGCCTTCTGCTTATTTCGTTATTTTAATTGATGGAACAGATTTTCTTGAGCTCTGGATTGGTGCTTCTCATTAAATTTTAGAAATGGGAAGAAATAACTAAATGACAGGAGCATTCTTGGGAGTGGAATTCAGAGATGAGTCATGAGAAAAGAATATAATTTTTGGCACATGTTTGAGGAATAGAAGCTCAGCTGTTTTGTATGGATATTCACAGCCATTGGGCTACATAAGCTGTGTTTTTATTATAGCCTTCAATGAGACCTTGGTTCTTCCTACTGGTTGTCATGGCTGCTTGTGAATGCTGGGCCATAACTACTAGTTTTTTGTTGTAGGGTTACTAATGAGTTCTCCACTGATTGGCTTTAATAGTCTCTCATTTAGCACCAGGCTGCACACACAAGATTTCATTTTAATAAAAAGTGCAGTGGAGCATTTGCTTTGGAATTAAAATACAAATGTGGAATTATACCAGCTTTGCAAAGAAATACTTTTAGAGGGGAACAAAGTTAGTTTAATTCTGTACCTCAGATTCCTCAAATATGAAAACAGGTGGCAGGCTAGCTCAGTGCATTGTTTGGACATGATGCTTCCACTTTGGGGGAAATAACTTTCACCTGAAAAGATGTCAAAGAGTTAGGAAATGCAGAAAAGCCTCTGATGAGTGATTGGAAACTGTTTTCCCTGAAACAACCAGGGTAAACTCTCTTCTCACATGGCCACAATCCCCTGACTGAAGCTAGGAATTGCTGGGGCTTAGATAGCTGAACAGTGAGTCATAAGCAGAGAAAGTTCTTGCAATAGAGTTGTACAAATAAATTGCTTCCCTGGAGACTCAAGACCATGGAGGCTATACATATCCCTGAAAAAGGTGCAGTG